GACTATAATAAATAACCTCCCAAATCAAGTCATAAGCCTGGGACAGGCGGGAAAATTACTTACTGAATTTAATGGGGTTGTATGAGAATAAGCCCAATTTTTCTACTATTTGTGTGATAACTGGGAATGAAAAGGAACAGGCACTCTACAGGATCTTCCACTCCCTCCACTTCCCACAAAAGGAGGACAGGAATAGCATTTGGTGCTTGAGGAGGGGACAGAAGAGGCAAATGATTATTGGGGACATGGGAAAGAGGGGGCTGAAACTAATTGTTTAGGTCTGGGAGAGGGGACAGATTATCCAGATAGGTCAGCAGTCAGTAAGGGGTCTGAATTAAAAGAGGAGAAGGCAAGACCAGTGAGGGAAGGGCTAGATCTAAGATAGAGGAAAGCTTGCTTAAGGATAAAGGTTGAATATATCAAGGTCCAGAAGGTTTTACAAATAGAAAGTGAAAAGGAAATAAAGATACTTTGTTTTGAAGCTGAGCCCATTGTGTGGAGACCAGAAGGGGCAGAGTCCAAGGAACACTTCCGAAAGGGTCCTTAAAGAAGAAGGCGTGAAGCCAAAGAGAGCCTAAGGCAAATGCACAGAGTCCTTCAATGGTAGGAAATAAAAGGGAAGTATTGCAAAAGGTAGGAATACTTCTAATGGTGAGGAGATAGGGCAGAAACCTAGAGCCCTGGTGAGGGAGAGATAACGGAAAGGGGGGGCGGATAAAGAACAAGACTGGAGTCTTTCAGATGGAGAGAGAATAAGGGCAGATAGTGAGGCAAGTAGTAGGGTCTACAATCCCAAAGCACCCATATATAGGTCATAAGCCAACAGAGGGTGACAAAAGGAAGAGAAAAGGAGATGACAACAAGGGTTCTACAATCCCAAAGCACTTTGGAATGTAGGGAAAGGTTCAGTCTTAGCACAGGGTTTCTGTCTGCTGATTGCCATTAATGGAAAAATTATTAGTGTCTAGGGTTGGATGCAAGGGTTGGAAATTCAGCAATGGTCCCTATCAGAGGTCACAAGAGAAAGGGAGTGCAGAGGAAAAGAAAGGGAGAGAGGGAGAAAGAGAAAGTGAGCTGAAATGATGAGGATGAAGCATCTTCTCTTTTGTAAAATTCCACCAGGGTTTTTCCACCCTAAAATGTAAGGAAAATGTTTAAGTTTAGAATAAACAAGGAGAAAAGTGACCTTTAGAAAAGGCAAGTTTTATTAGAGAATTTCTCAGTGTCCTGGCTATGGTCTGAAGAGGGCAAGAGAGCAGAAATCCTGCAGACCAAGGGGTTTTAAGGGGATGAACTGAGGGTAAGGGAGAGACTATTGAAGGAAGCCAGGGCTGTTGCTGATTGATTCATTAGTCAGTTACAGGAGACTGCCTCATTTATTATCTGAGGTACTGAACCAGCCTCTACTTACTGGGCTTTTTTGGTACCCCAAGATTAGGGGTATTATAAGGGCTAGAACATTCAATGAGTCCTTGATGTCTTAGTCCCCTATATGACAGAAATGATTTTTCTAGGACCTCACTTCGGGGTGAGGGTACTAAGGGTACTGCCTTTGTGTGGGAAATGGGAAGGGTCCTAGAGGCATATTATAAGCATGTTTTCTCCTGCAGGCCGTCCCAAAGTGTTTCACCATCAGTCCATACTGAAGAGTCTATCCTGGATTCTAGGGGGAAGACTATAGTACTCTGGTGGGGGCGGGGGACAAAAGCAACTTAACCTATAGTTGGGCTAGAGATTCCAGTGAGATTTTGGAAAAATGGTTGATAGAAGCGGAACTCTCACCAGGAGCAGGCCAAGAGTTGTGTGAACTAATGCTCTTGGGGCTGACCTGATATACCCAAACAGTAACCTTATCAGGGGAACTGGGTCCAGAAAAAAATGACACTGCATCCTTTAAGGCCATATTGTCTCCCTACCCATTTTCCTCCCTTCTGATAGAGCAAGGACCACAGGGTCATGGAGCAATGGGGCCTTCCATTGGTTTTCTTTACCAATGAGGCAGGGTCCCTGATGTTGTTTGTGCTTCCAGGGGTATTCCCTTTTATATTGGCCTCCTGTCCATAAATGAAACATGCCCTGGAATTAGGGCAGGTAACCTTTTGGATTACCTGCATGGACAGAATAAGAACATTTTGCCAATTAACCCTTCTTCAAATCCTTTTCCAGTCCAAGGACCTGCTGCCCTGGGTTGCCAGTTGTTTACTAATTTTCTATGAATAGTAGGCTGGCCAAATGAGGTAAACATTTATCTTTGCTAGGCTCTCTGGATCACATGTGTAATTTTAGCTATTCAGGAGTCTGAAATCTGAGGATTATGGTTCGGAGCCAGTCATGGCAGGAAAGTACATGTGACCCTTATCATCCATTAAGCACTGGAAAGCCAGAAGTGAAGCTATAGCTCAAGTACTAGAGTCCTAGCCTAGAGCAAAAAAAGAAAAAGAAAACCCGCTCAGGTACAGTACTCAGGCCCTTAGTTCCAGCCCTAGAATGAGCACAAAAGCATTTTTCTTTTTTTGTTCTTATTTTTAATTTAATTTTATTGTCAAGGTGATGTAGAGAGGGCTTACAGTTACATATGTCAAGTAGTGAGCACATTGTTACCCCCTTCCCTTGTTTTTCTCCCACTTTCCTTCCCCTCAGTGCTCTCCCCCCAAGTTGTGAAATTCATTTCCAACGTGTTACCTTGTGAGTATTGCTGTTGCATTGCTTCTCCTTGTCCTTTGTCTCACCATTTTGTTCCCTTTCCATTCCCTAATTCAGATAAGTGTATATACAGTACACAGGGATCTTCTCTGTATATGTCCCTGGTTGCACATTGATATATTTTTGATAGTATTTTAAGTCTTTGTGAAAAGGATACTGTGGCCTAAATATCTCCTTGATGGATAGCCAATATTCGGAAGTAATTGTGTGATTTTACTTTGACTCTAGTTAGCCTATTGAATATGGCATATCTGAAATGACTTCTCTCCCAAATTGTGACAACTAGTTGCAGGATCCAATTTGCATTCAGTTTTAGGTATGGCCTGGTCGCATGAAGTAATCTCACTCTTCTTCTGACTTTTCCTTTTCATGGAAGTGTAGTAGTGGTCATTATTACAAGAGATTCCTAAATCCTTTTAACCTTGTTCACTTCACTCAGAGAGAAGGGGCCATGGAGTCTGAAATCTCCTTGAGACATCACCCATATTGGGAACATTCCTGAGTAGTGTCTCCTCCCAGATTGTTTTCCTTTTCTAGGGATGGATGAGAAGGAGCATAAAGGTGTAAGCTCAAGGGATTTGCTTATGATGGAAACAATTCCTCCAACTCAGAAGGAAGAGTCCAGAGGAGCTTCAGGTTTTATGTAGTCAAAGGCCTCTGGACTCAGGGAGGGAACCATGGGGGGAGCATAATGTCACACAGGCCTGTGCGTCAAACCTTTATCCTCCATCTAGTCAGGATGATCTTTTAGGTAGAAAAAGACCTGGATATAGGCCACCTCTGTCCATTTTTCCTTCCTCTTACAAAAATGTTCCTGTTGAAATATACTGTTATAATTGATGCTCCCACCCTTAAGCTCACTTTCCCCTTGTAGAACAATATGAGGGACTTTAATCTTAAATTTGGAGGGTCTAAGTCCCTCCAGTGTTTCAACCAACAGGTGAAGGGAGATTCTTTAGCACCTTAGAGGAACTCATGACCATCTATAGATAAAAAATAAAGGCAACTCACAAGTCAAGGCCCACTTCTAAGACATCTCTGAGTGTGTACAAACTTCCCTTATATGGGAATACCCTTCCCACAACTATCTCCAACATTTCTGTGGCCAAGAGGCAATGGACTAAGAAGGAAAAACTAGTTTTGGGCTGCATGGACTGGAATGATTCTCTCTTCTAGACTTTTCTCATTGCATTATACCCCAAATATTTTTGCTTTTTCAAATTACCAGAAGCAGTGAGTTCATATCCAGTGGGAGAAAGGGCAGGAGAGCAGTAACTAGGGCCAGGACAGCTAATGAGGAATCAATGCTCAGACTCTCAAACCATCATCCAGCATACAAGACTATTGTATCTCCATGAAGTCAAATCCCTTTTATTTATATTTATTGTTGCTTTTCCGTGTACTTGAAACTCAGGGCCTGGAAGCTGTTCCTGAGCTTCTTTTGTTCAAAGCTACCACCCTACCACTTGAGCCACAATGCTATTTCAAGCCTATTCTGAGTAGTTTATTGGAGAAAAGAATCTCAGGGACTTTCTTGCCCAGCCTAGCTTTGAACCATGATCCTCAGATCTCAGCCTCCTGGGTAGCTAGGATTATAGATAGGAACCATGGGTGCCCAACTTCAAATCTACTTTAAAAGGTAGCAGTGGCTTGGTTGTACTGGGGGAACTCACTGTGTTTTACCAATAGGTGATCTTTCTCTGGGGTCATCATATGGCCTCCTGAGATACATTTCTTAGCTTGTGTGAAGTACCAAATTGTGGAGATGTGACTGAGGAGTGCCTCCAATTCAGTGCTTACATTCTTTTCCAGAGGGTCAAACTAGTCAATAGAAAATTTACAGAATTGGCAGGAACATTTCTTCTTCATTTTGAGCCACTGGGGACTAGTGGTTGTGAGAGTAGAAAGTCCCTACAGAAAATAAATCATTGTACTTCTGTCTGAGATTATGAAGATTTATAAGATTATAAGAACAAAAATACTACTTTCCTCAGAAAGAAAAGTGTTAGCTGCCACAGACCTCACTGTGAATCTGTGTTTTGATCCCTGGTGATGTTCCTATTGAGTCATGAGGCATTGTATATCCTCATTCAGGTCTTGGGGACTTGAGAAAGTAGGTTGACAGGAGGTCTATGAGGCCTTATAACACACTTTTGAAAAGCATGGATAAGGATTCTATTAGAACCACTGCAATTGAATTGACCACCCTTCAATAATCTCATATCTTCCCTTCCTCCCTTAGGCAAGTCTGCCTTTCTTGTCTGCCTTTCCTCACTGCTGCCAACCTAAGAGTCATCATGCCCCACGATAAGGAGCAGCAACAGTGTTCCCATGACAAAGGCCCTCAGCAGGGCCATGAGCCTCAGGGCCAAGTGGCTGCCCAGGGCTCCCAGGCTGTGGAGGAAACACTGTCCTCCCTCAATCCTGTGGCGACAAGCAGTATGCAGGTGGTTCCTGTTGTTGAGGCCCCTGAAAATCCTGGGGGTCCTCATAGCGCTAGCTCCTCTTCCACTGGCATTCATGGTGCCTGTGGAGGTGAATGTGATGAGAGCTCTAGTAGCGAAGAAGATGAGTCTACCCCATATACCATAGAGGCTCTTCTGGATAAGAAAGTGTCTTTTTTGATGAATCTCATGCTGCTCCATTATCGACAGAAAGAGCCATTAAGTAAGGAAGATATGATGAAGTTTGTCATCAGAGAGTATGAGATCCTGTATTCTGCAATCTTCAAGAAAGCCTGTCTGCGCCTTGAAGTTATCTTTGGCCTGGAAGTGAAGGAAGTGGATGCCACCAACCACTGCTTTGGCATCTTCATCAAAGAAGGCTTCACCTATGATGGGATGCAGTGTGGAGAAGTGGGCATTCCCAAGACCGGCCTCCTGATATTTCTTCTGGGTGTGATCTTCATGAAGGGCCACCGTGCCACTGAAGAGCACATCTGGGAAGCTATGAAGGAGATGGAGATCTGTTGTTGCAAGAAGCACTTCATCTTTGGCAATCCTAAGCAGCTCTTCACTGATGAATTCGTGAAGGAAGGGTACCTGAAGTACCAGAAGGGGCCTGATAGTCATCCTGAGAAGTATGAGTTCCTATGGGGTCCAAGAGCCTATGCTGAAACCACCAAGATGAAAGTCCTCGAGTTTATGGCCAAGGTTCGTGGGACTGATCCCACTGATTTCCCATCTCTCTATGAAGAAGCTCAGCTTGAGGAACAAGAAAGAGCCCTCTCCCAAGCATCAGGCCATGGTGGTTATGGTTCTGCATCTACTGAATGCTAGAGTGCCAGCAAATTCATACTAAGTGAGAGGTAGTTTCTTTAAGTAGTTGCTTCATGATAGATATTAATGTTGAAAAAATGTAGGCCTTAGCAGAACATACCATACATTTGTTTCTTTTTTTTTTGTAACTAGCGATGATTGGTTTTATAGCTTTAGTTTATTCTGACATGTAATACAGTTGGTTAGGTGAAGTAATGCAAATTCTCTTTTCTTTGTGAAACAAATTGTAAAGGATTCATTTTTTTGTTTGAGCTAGAGTAAAATAATATTTCTATAACTATTTCTTTGGAAATTGGAAGAAATTCGGCTTTAAGAACTTCAATGTCAATAGAAATAGAAAATTATGTATAGAAATATTCAGTTATTTGCTTGTTATTTATAACTCTTTGTAAATTTGATCAAATGCAGCAAGTTCTCTTATACGTATATGAAGTCAAAGGTGGATTTTTCATTTATGGCCTGAGAATAATTATTAGTTTTAAAAAGTATAGGTGTTAGTTGTCTTTTAAAAAAGCAATGTATCATCTATCCATTATTATTTTGTTTCTGTAAGTTATAAATATATTATTGTTTTCTCTTTTTTCTGTACATTTGTGATTCTTGCTAAAATCTATTTAAGAGAGGAATTGTTCAACTATTACAGTTGTGATGAAAATTTTGTTAAGATGATGCAGTGACAGCACAAATTTACAAAGAGAAAAACCAAAGCCGTGGACAACTTGCGAAAAAAAATGCCAAGAGTATTGTTGTTTCCCAATGTATTACGTTTTTTGAAGACTGTATTTTTCATTTGTTGCTCAATTTTTAGAAATTTAATAAACTTTAAAATATCAATGTTTGGGCAATATTATTTACACAATATAATTCTTGAAGAATAAATTTTTATTTTATAAAAATTAATTTGGAAAATTCTATCAATATGATTATGTGGTATAAGATAACCAATTTGTTAAGCTCTCAACTTCACAATATTTTTGGCCACAACATAGAGTAGTAAACTTTAACAATGTTTTTCCCTTACATTTTAAATATATATCTATGGGCAAGTTTATTTCATTTATAATTTGTAAGAGAAATACACTTCAAGAAATTTATCTCAGGCTTACCATTTATTTTATTTCCCTTCTGTACTGGAGCATCTGGTCATTTTGTATAATTTTAATGGTAAAATAAGATCGAACACTTGTGTTTTTTTTTGTTGTTGTTGTTTTTGTCGGTTGTGGGGCCTGAACTCTGGGCCTGGGCACTGTCCCTCAGCTCTTCAGTTCAAGGCTAACACTCTACCACTTGAGCCATAGCACCACTTCCAGCTTTTTTCTGCTTATGTGGTGCTGAGGAATCGAATCCAGGGCCTCATGCATGCAAGGCAAGTACTCTACCATTGAGCCACCTTCCCAGCCTGAGCACTTGTTTTTATTAATATAATTTTTCCAAGTAATCTTAAAATACTAGTTTTTGAGGATATTCTAGTATATATTGGAATAGAGATAGAATTTCCTAAATGATAATTTTAGCCAAAGTAAATTCCCAGATGCTGTTAATTAATGTTGAATGTGGCATGGCAATCTATAATTCCTCAATGAATGTTAATTTTCAGTTAAGTATTGGTTTGTGAAAAGTGGAGGTAGGATCAGGGACAATAGTTGTATATGAAGCATGACAGAATTGAGACTCAAAATTCTAGAGTGAAAATTGTTCTTCCTATTTAGTTGGGTTATGCTTTAAATAGAAGGAAATCACACTATGTGATTAAAGGTAATCCACAGACTTTATGCTGCATAATATTCTCTAGAAGATTTTTAGGTATAACATCATACTTTATTGAATCAGTGCTTGTTGTTCTAGGTGAGGAAGCCAGAAACTACTCTTTTACTGGGTCTTTTGTGTGTGCTAGTACTGAGGCTTGAACTCGGCCCAGACACTTCCCCTGAGCTTTTGTTCTCAAGGCTAGCACTCTACTATTTCAACTACAGCTCCATTTTCACGGTTTAGGTGATTAATTGGAGATAAGATTATCAGGGGTTTCCTGCCCAGATTGGCTTCAGACTTTGATCCTCAGATCTTAGCCTCCTGGATAGCTAGAGTTACAGGCATGAGCCATTGGCTCCTGGCTCTTTTAAGGGATATTTTAAAATAAGTAATTTTCCTTGTAGTTTGAATCAAATTCTCTTAAGACATCCTTATACCTCTAATGGAGACAAAGTGAATGAAGATGTTGATTCTTTGGATGGAAGTAAGGAGTTGGTCCTAGTAAAAAAATTCTAAGAACTGCCAGGTACAATTGTTCATGTGTTTGATCCTAACTATGCAGGAAGAGGTTGATGTCTTCAGGTTCCAGTTTCAAAGCTAGGGCAGGCAGCAGAAAAGTTCTTGAGAGTCTATCTCTAATAATGAGTAGTGGTAGAAAAATCAGCCATGGGCTATTAAGGTGAGCATGCTAAAGGCCTGGAGATCGAGCTATGGTAATTTCCATGGAAATTTGGCTTCCTCAGAAACTCCACTAGGAAAAGAGAAAAGTTGTTAACTAAAAATGGTTCATTGGATATATCTGCTGTACAATATAAGAGAGAGGAAAAACATCCATGTACATTTCTTCTCTCATAAACTCAGGGGAAGACTACATTGATGGGTTAACTTGTAATTAGCCTTTGCCACTGAAAATGTGTGTAGAAATAATGATTATCATTACAGGCCAAGGTATTTGAGAGCCATTATACTACCATTATGTTTTCATCATCAAACATAAAGTCATATTAACTTACAAGTAAAGATAGAAGCAACCTGGAAACTTGGGTCATCTTGTAGCAAAAATTTACTTCCAAATCATATCAGATTTGACTATAAAATATGGACGAGACCTGGGCACTGATGGCTCACTCCTGTAATCCTTGCTACTCTGAGGATCACAGTTCAAAGACAGCCCATGCAGGAAAATCCCTAAGATTCTTATCTCTAACCACCAGAAAATGTGAAATGGAGCTGTGGTTCAAAATGGCATAGCACTAACCTGTAGCAAAATAGCTCAGATACAGTTCCGAGGCCCTGAATTCAAGTTCCAACACTAACATATATGTGTGTGTATATACACACATATATGATAAAATCTTTTGTTACATTAAACCGTTCAGATTTTCAAGTACCCTTTTGTATCAGCTAGCTGAAACTTTATCTTAAGTATATACACAAACACACACAGAGTTGTAATTTATGTTAATCTGATTAATATGATTTATGAATCTGCATTTCTTCATATATTTTTTCTCTAGATTAAATAGTCGATATATCCATTCTTGTTTTTTTTAATAGGCAGTAAATCATACCAATAAAAGGTGCTGGGGAGGAAGAAAAACCTTGTTAACCAACAAACACAAAACAAAGCTGCAGCAAAAACACAGCAAGAAGAAAATGACCTACCTTAGTAGGGAAGAGAACTGACTGAATATGAATGGAGGAAAACTGAGGACACACTTGAACTAAAGAATCTCTTAAGTATTCTGCTAATTCACATTTATTCTATAGAGATAATATGGATGACAGACATAGGGAGATTATTTCAGATAAAAACAATTTTTAATTACTGTGAAACTTGATTCTTAGATTTACTTTTAAACCATTCAGAGAAAAAGCAATTAAATTTTAACTGAGAAATGTGGTCCTGCTGGGCCTTATATAGTGGCTCAGTCTATAAGTATGAAGCAAAGGATTAGTCTTGGTGATGGGAAAGGAGTTCATTGAATATAAATTTAGAGTAGACAATACGCTTGAGTTTGATGGCATTAAACATCTTTTGAACTTCATTTTAATAAACTTACACTAGTAAAAGTAACAGTGCCAAACTTTAAAAACATCTATTTAAAAATATATATTAAGATGACAATAAAATATTTGAGGAAATAGGAAAAAACAGTTAAAACAGTTATCTCAAAGGCAAAAACAGTTACTTTAGTTATTTCAAAGGCAAATATATTGAACATCTGAGAAAATGCAACAAAAAACTAGATAGATTTTTGCTTTCAGTAAGTTAATCTTTAAGTCAACTGGATTGAATAAGGACATGTCGTGTTATGATTTCATTTTATCAAGCACTTTCCCATTAGATTCCAGTACCCATTGATATGATGTACTCCTAGGGAAGACTCTGCTCATATACTTCCTAACTCCTTTCTTTTTTACTGAAAATTTTACTTTTTGGAGTGTTCAATTCCCTATTATCTGTTTTTACATCACAGAAAACACAGAATTTCCTCATCTTAAACTAATCTTGTTTATTTAAACATGGTAGCATCCTAAGTAATAATCTTCAAAATTTTGAACCACAAGGTTTTATTAACTATTAATTGGTAATTTATTATTCACAATCGGGTTTTTAGACTTCTGTATATAAATGCAGTAGATTTACATGTAGTCATATTTTATATTTCATACTATAACAATATTCTATGAAAATGTCTTTCAATTTAGACATTAAAATGTATGAACAAAGTAATAATGCAAAAGGATAAAGTAATGAAGAAGACTCATAAAATATTTATGAAATGTGTACAATATAGGCACTAATTTGTATGTAAATGTTACATCTAATTTCACAAAGATGTGTTTTAATAATAATCAGTTGTGAAAATGCTATTTAGAATGGCTCAATTATGTGCCCATGTCTATAAAACAGAAGTCACATGTTGCACTTTTAATAATCATCTCTATTAATTTCATCTTGAACATTCACCTGATGTGTTCTTGATCAAAATTTATCTAGCATTTACTTAAAATGCAAATAGAGGGAAGGGGGTGACATTATGAGGGAAGGGGTGATATTGTCCGAAAAGAAATGAACCTATGATCTGACTTATGCAACTGAAAATAAAAATGAAAAAAGAAAATAAACATAATCATTTTTGCACTTTGATTCTTACATTTGAGGTGATGCTAAAAGCTTGATCAAATGTCTTACACTTATAAATTTTGGAGACATTCTAATAGACAAAGAATGGACAAAAGTGCAT